GCATGGCTCGTCGACCTTCGGCATCACCTTACAGGTCAACGCCAGGACGGTCACTCCCTGGCTGTTCATGTCGATGGCCTGCTTCCCCGCCCCCCTGCCTCTGCTGCCCTCCCTGATGCCCCCACCTCTGCTGAGCGTGAGGCCTTTTCCGCTGCTGCGCTTGATCGTGTCGTCTGGGACTCGCGCGACGCTGTCGCCCAGCTTGCTATCAGCCGTGCGCTTCCGCTGTTTGAGCGTCCTCGCTTTACCACTGTAGCGAACGCCCTAGCCTTCTAAGATGTTGTCATTGCGCGCTATTCCACCCCCACCACTGCATCTGCTGGTCGCCTGATCCTTCCCATACGGTTCCCTGATCTTGCGTCCTTCTCCACTGTCGCCAACTTTGCCACGCACCTCCGCGCGCTTGAGACGAGCTACCATGTTGCTAGCACTGAGGCACAGCTCACTGCCTTCCCGCCATAGTTCTGCGCCACCCTTTATCTCATCGCCACGCGCCCCCCTGACCGCCTAGCCACAGCCCGCGACAATTTCTTTAGTCAGCACCCAGTTGACCTCACTCTTACTGCCTTTGTCACTGCCCTGTCTAAGTTAGAGACCCGCCAGCGCAGTATCGCTCAGTCTAGCAGTACTGCGGCGGTACCTATCTTTCAGGGTTGTGCTCCCTCCCAGTGCACTTACTGTGACGTCTTTGCTGCTGTTGCTAAGACCGCTACGGCGGCCTCAGCGCAGAAGCGTTAGGGTAAGGGTCGCCGCCCCAAGGGGGGGCGTGGTGGGGGGAAATGGGGTGGCGGTGGGGAGGGTGGCGGCGGTGAGGGCGGGGACGGTGGTTCAGACGAGGGGACCGGGGCTGGTGTCCCGAAGCAGCCGCAGCAGCGTACGTAGCCTCAGCAGCACCAGCAGCAGCCTCTGCAGCAGCAGCAGCCGCCGCCGTAGTCGCAGCAGCAGCAGTCGACGTGGGGACCCCCGCCGTCGTGGTGGACTGGCGGCGCTAGCGGCGGTGGTCGTGGGGGGGGGGGGGCGCAGCTCGGTTTTGGGTGGCAGCTCCAGCGCGGTCACCTGCCAATACCAGCTTCAGACCGGCCCTCGCCGTGGCACTGTCTGCCTCCGGCCCGGCCACACCCTCGACCGCAGCTACCGCCGCCTGGACAACCTGTTCCGCCAAAGCTTTGGTCCTGCGTCGGACTGGCACGCCCTGGGTCGGCATCGTGTGCCGGTCTTTGAGCTTGACATGGATCATATTGGGAATGCTATGTCTGCCATGTATGCAGATGACTCTAGTGTGATTGGACCCTATGACCCGGTATTGCCTAGCGTAGGTGTGTCCACTATGTATAGTCTAGGCTCCCCTGTTGTATCAGGCGTAGGACCCCCTGCCTTGTTTAGCTTAGGCTCCACACTAGCCCCTCCGCCAGCAGACGCTAGCGCTTCGCTCTCCTCACGCTTGAATCCGGTGCGTCTACCTGCTTCTTCCGCGACCGCACTTCCCTCCGACCCGGTAGTTGCACGTAGCTCCACCACCCTTCCCTGTCCGACGGCCCCCTCGGGCACTCTTACAGGCCTGCACATCCCCTCGCTCTCTAGGAACCTAGTTGGTGTCAGCTGTCTTCAGGACCTCGGCATCACCACTATGTTCCTTGAACACGAGCGGTACACGGTCTGCACCGAGACCGCCACTGGTGCTCCTCTGACCACGTTCCCCCGGGACCCTGTGTCCAGCCTATTTACGCTTGCCACTCCGTCCCCCCCAGTGAGGGCGTCCCCCCAGGTAGCCGCAGCTTGCTCGTGTCGGTCGCTCACTCACCCGTCGCTGCTATGGCTCTACCGTCTAGGCCACCCTGCACTCTCGCGTCTGCGTCACATGTCCCAGCACGGTCTTGTCCTAGGTTTCCCTACGTCGCTCCCTTCCCTCCCTCCCTCGCCCGCGCCGCCGTGCGCGCCCTCCGTCGAGGGCCGGCTGCGCCGTGTTCCTCACTCTTCCTCGCTTCACCCTGAAACCGCGCCACTACAGACCCTGCACATGGACATCTGGGGTCTAGCCCCCGTCCCTGGGCCGTGTCAAGAGCGCTACTTCCTGGTGCTTGTCGACGACTACACGCGTTACACCACTGTGTTTCCTCTGGAGCGGAAGGCCGACTTGCCTGACGTTCTTATCCTGTGGGTCGTAGCTGCGCGAGTCCGCCGAGGTCTCCCCCTGCTGTGTCTGACCATGGCGGCAAGTTTGCCTCCGATCGGCTTGGCCGGTTCTGTCGTGCGGAGGGCATCACCCAGTCGTACACCCTGCCGGACTCCCCACAGAAGAATGGGGTCGCTGAGCGACGCATCGGCTTGGCCGTGAAGGTGGCTCGCACCTCCATGATCCATGCCAGTGCACCCCATTTTCTGTGGTCGTTCGCTATTCGTTACGCCGCTCACCAGCTTAACCTCTGGCCCCACTCCCAGCGTCCGCAGGTTTCACCGTCCCTCCTCTGGACCGAGTCTCCTGGTAATGCGTCTGCGGTCCACGTCTGGGATGACTTGCTCATGTTCATGCCTCCAGCACGGACAAGCTCACTGCCAGCACTGTCCCCTGTGTCTTCCTTGGTTTCCCCCTTGACTTGACTAACTGGCACTTTTACCACCCGCCGTCTCACCGCTTCCTTCACTCACGTGACATCACTTTTGACAAGTCTGTCTCCTTTTACCATCGTTTTACCCGCCGAGGTCTCCCATTTTCCCCATCCCTGTTTCTGGTTCCCACTCCCCTAGTAGCCCCTGCTCCCCTCCCTCCCCATCTTGCTCCGTATGGAGTGTCTCACTTCACTCCCCTCCCGTCGCTTGTCCCGGTCGAGGAGTCAGCTGACTCTGGTGGCCCCGCGACGCAGTGCTCGCCGCTTGTCTCTCCCCCGGTGTCCCCTCCTCCATCGTCGCAGTTGCCGCCGTAGCCGTCGTCGCAGCCACAGCACCAGTAGTTGCCGCCACCGCAGCAGCCACCGCCGTCGCAGCAGCAGCAGCCATTCATGGACTCTGGGGGTGCTAGCGTCAAGGAGGGTGCTAGTCCTGGGTTCCTGTCGTGGCTTGTCCCGGCGGGCTCGTGGGTGGCATCAGTGCTGGAGAGGGTTCTCGCTCTGGAGGTGCTTGCTCTGTTGGTGCTGGAGTGGAGTGTTCCGGAGATAGCCGTGGTGCAGTTGGCAGTCCAGGTGTCGGCGTCGAGCAGCAACAGCAACAGTCGTCCCTGGTGTCCGCCCTTCGCCCGCTCGGCCTTCCCTCCCCTGACCACTCGCCTGCGCCTCCCCCACCGCCTCCTCCCCTTCCTGTCCACGGTCCTGTGTTTCCTCCGCCGGACTCGTCCCCGGCCCGTTTCCCGCCTCGTTCCCCCCTTGTGTCTCCTCCTCTATCTCCTGACCAGACGCCTCCGTCTCACGTCTAGTCTCGCCGTCCCTCTCAAGCTCGTCCTGTCTTTCCTGTTCAGTGTTCTCACCATACGTTGCTTCGTTCCCACGCGTCTCGTCCTCCCCTCCTCCCCTTGCCTCCTCCGTCATTGCTCTTTGTCGCGCCTCCCCCTCTGTCTGACTACCTTCGTGCCGCTCGTCCTTTTGTTCCTCGGGTCCTTGCCTCCCTCGTTACCGACTCGTCTGTCCCTATCTCAAGTCTTGACACTCTTGACGCTGCCATAACTGACTTCGCCTCTACCCACCGCCTTGACTACGCCACCGCTCTAGTCTCTGACCCTGTCTGCCCTCTGTCCATCGGGGGTGCGTCTGCCCTTGGCAGTGACGTCCTAGAGGTCAGGCAATACGAGCTTGCTTTCCTGTCTGAGGCTGCTCCCCATCTCTGTTTCATCTTGTTAGTCCTTAAGGGTGACCCAGATGCCTTTGACATCCTGATCCCTCTTACTTACGCTGAGGCGACCTCGGACCCTGGGCCTCACAGTGGATAGCTGCCATGGAGCAGGAGATGGCATCTTGGAGATCCACAGGCACCTACGTCGACGCAGTTCCCCCACTTGGGGTGAACGTAGTCGATGGCCGCTGGCTCTTCAAGGTGAAGCGTCCTCCTGGAGAGCCGCCTGTATTCAAGGCACGCTACGTGGCTAGAGGCTTGAGTCAGTGCGAGGGTGTGGACTTCTTTCAGACCTTCGCCCCGAACCCGAAGATGACTACTCTTCGGGCGCTGCTACACGTAGCAGCAAAGCGTGACTACGAGTTCCACTCCCTCGACTTCTCTACAGCTTTCTTCAGGGCAGCCTACATGAGCAGGTCTACCTGCACCATCCCTAGGGCTTCACCGGTACCTTCCCTCCTGGGACCCAGTGGCTCCTCCGGCGCCCGGTCTATGGCCTGCGACAGGCGCCCGTGAATGGCACGATAAGCTGCGTGCTACGCTAGCTGACCTGCAGTTCTTCCCGTCGTCTGCAGACCCCTCCCTCTTCGTTCGTGCTGGCCAGACCCCGTTTTCCATCCTTATCTACGTAGACAACCTGGTCTTCGCTTCTGCAGACAAAGACGCACTGGCCTCCGTGAAGGCCGAGCAGTTGAGGAGACACACCTGCACTGACCTAGGAGAGCTGCGCCGCTACCTTGGCCTGCAGATCTCCAGGGACAGTGTCACAGGATCGAATGTGTCGAGGAAAGATCGCACTATCGATCAGTACAAGGCGCTTTTATACTTCCATAGTACATCAGGTAACCAGGTTTATCTTATCCTAGGGGAATAGACCCTTCTAGAAGATAGAATCACCCTGCGTATAGCCACGCGAAGCTATTGGCTTTAAGGGATTACAGCAGGATTACGCTAGATAGAGCGCACCAGTACATCCCAATCCTGGTCGGTGATATAATTATAATAGCAGGATGAACCAAAGGTTCCTGGAAAAGGAAGAATAGGAAACCAAATGAGATGGAATAAAAGAGAAATGAAAAAGGAAGGAAATAAGAAAAGGCCAAGTGGTGTAACGGGGTCGTTCTCTCACAGACAGTGCAGCGCGCACCATCACTCTCACACAGTCACACTTGGTGCGTCAGGTCCTTTAGAGGTTTGGTCTTCAGTTCTCCTCAGCATAGCCGAACGGCATTACCAAATACTCGTACGATCCATACCAAGTTCGGAAAGCAGTTTTGTGGATAGAGTTGTCCGCCATGCGTATCTGCCAGTATCCGGATCGCAGATCCAGTTTGGAAAATACCGTAGCTCCCCGAAGCTGGTCAAGCAGGTCATCGATTCGCGGTATCCGATATTTATTCTTGATGGTCTGCTTGTTCAGAGCTCGGTAGTTGATGCACATGCGCAGGCTTCCGTCCGGTTTCGGTGTGAAGAGTACTGGGGCACCGTACGGCGAAGTGGATGGTCGGATGAGTCCTTTGGCTAGGAGATACTCGATTTGTTTTTTCATGTCGGTCAGCTCCGTAGGGCTGAGCCGATATGGTGCTCGGAAGGTCGGCTTCGAACCCGGTTCCTCCACGATCTCGTGTTGATGCGTTCGGTATGGCGGTAGCTCATTCGGAAGATCGTCCGGAAGAATATCTTGAAACTCCTTCAATAATTCCTTGATCTTTCCTGGAGGTTCCGAGGTTCTCTCCCTGTCGTTTTCCGCCTCTGTTGCTATTGCCAGGAACCCTATGTCGGTTCGCTTCACGTCCTTCTCGAATCGTGCGAGTGTCTCCACTGGGATATCTCCTGTATCGTCCCAGTTGGGTAGCTGTACTCTCCGTCCATTGTTGTAGATGCTTGCGGTGCGGTTCACCCAGTTGATCTTGGGGCTGAATCTTTTTAGGAAGTCTCGCCCGAAGATCAAGTCAAGCCCTTGGATGTTGGTGATGGGAAGTGCAGGTCTCCAGCGCAGTGGTCCAATTTGTAGGTGTAGCACTGCTTCGCCGTGTACTGGTAACTTGTTGCCGTCCACCATCGTTGCAGAGAATCCTGAAGGCTTGTACTCTTTCCGAAGTCGGTCGATTACTGCCTTGTCGCAGACGGTGTGTGATGCTCCGCTGTCCACGAGTGCTTGGAGGCGTCGTCCTTTGCAGATGACCTCGAGCACGAGGGGCAGTCGTTGCTCGGAGTACCCAAAGATAGTTTCATTGATTGGGTCATAGGGTACATCCCAATATTCCGTACACACCTTTGTGTTGCTATCAACTCCTGAGCTGGCAGCTGGCTGAGGCTGCTTGGAGAACGTCTCTTCTCCAGGGCCCAGAGTTTCCTTGACAACTGTGCGCGTCACTGATGCCGAAGAACTGGATGCATCCGGAGGAGGAGTTCGGGGTTTGTGCAGCTTTTTGTAGACCCCCAGCTTCCTCTTGAGCTGCTTCAGCTCCACCGACGTCTTCCCTGGGGAACGGGTAGTCGTTGTGGGCTGGTGTCGGGAGAGGACGTTGACTCCGTGGAAAGGTCGGCTTCTTTCCACACTCCTTAATTTTTTCCCCAAGTTGTCCGGTACCGGTATAATCTCCACAGCTGTCTGTTTTTTTCGGAGTCCTTCCCGAATTTTCTCCAAGGCTCTAGCCCCTCGAAAATCATAATTTTTCATTAAAGCATCTTTATAAGATAACTTTAACGAATCCTTATATTCTCTTGGGTCTTCAAGGAGTTTCCCCGTCTCGGCAGAGTCCTTTTTCGCGGAGTCGTATTTTTCCTCGGCGATTTTCCCTGGCGAAGACTGGTCGTGGGGTGGAGATTTTCCCCCATCATTTCCTCCTTCTCGCGTCGAATCAGCTTCGTCGAAGTTGATTTTCCCGGAATCCCGCGGCCGCTTCCGGATCTTTTTATTTTCGCCAGCTAGATCCGCAATCACTGGCGACTCCCGTTTTTTTGCTTCTAATTGGCCGAAGGATCTCCGCTACTGTTGCGTGCCCGATACTCTGCGCGTGCGGCTTTCATTTTGCTGCAGTCGAAGATTCGATGACCTGGCACCCCGCAAAAATCACACGTGTAATTGGTGTTTTTCGGACGTGGCCGCCCCTCGAATCTGTCGACTTCCATCGGGTCGGCGAACGTGGGGTGAGCCGAGCAGTCGCCCTATCGCGTACTGCCGACGTGCATCCATCGTGTTCCGGCGTTGACCATGTCGAAGCGCTCCGCTGCCGAAACGACGTCACTGTAGCTCGCGTAGTTTGACGCTGCTACCTGGCGTTTGACATCGGTCTTCAGCCCGGCGAGGTACGATTGTACTTTTTCCCCTTCAGTCAGGTCGGGAATGCGGTTATAAAATTCCTCCATCTGCTGCGTGTACTGCGCTACACTCCCGTAGTGTCGGTGTCGATGAATTTTTCCCGGGCAAGGAAACTGGAATTTATCGGCTCGAAGCGTTTCAGCAGGTCGGCGCGGAACTGCTGCCACGTGGCTTCACCGTGGATGAAGGTACTGTTGCCGCCAATCCATTCGAGTGCCGCCCCTCGCATCAGTGTCACCGCGAGTCGTACACGTTGACCGTCCCACACTGGCGAGCTCCATCCGACGGCTGCGAAGTAGATCTCCATGTCGGCGATCCATCTGCGGGCGTCGGAGTTTCGATCGCTCGGATCGAACGGCTCATGTGGGCGCGGTTTCGGAGCCTTGAGAAACTGCTGCGACTGCTGCGTCGTCGCCGTTGTCGTCTCGTGCTGCGCTCCAGCGAGTCGAGTTACTCGCTCGAACTCGTTTCGCCACGCTTCGCGATCCGCTCGCATTTCCTCCTGAAGGGCTGCGATGCGCGCGAAGAGCTGCTGGGTAACCTCGGCGTTGTCGAAGGTTGCCATCCTGTTCAAAACACGCACGGAGGGGGTAATTTGAAAATCGCGGAGCTGGTGCTTACCAGAATCGGCGTCGAATTGGTCGCCCCCATCGGTTTTTCGAGGCAGGTTTTCCCGCTGCAGCTGCTTTGTTGAGCGCGGCCGAGTGAGAAAAGCTCTGATTACCAAGTGTCACAGGATCGAATGTGTCGAGGAAAGATCGCACTATCGATCAGTACAAGGCGCTTTTATACTTCCAGAGTACATCAGGTAACCAGGTTTATCTTATCCTAGGGGAATAGACCCTTCTAGAAGATAGAATCACCCTGCGTATAGCCACGCGAGGCTATAGGCTTTAAGGGATTACAGCAGGATTACGCTAGATAGAGCGCACCAGTACATCCCAAGCCTGGTCGGTGATATAATTATAATAGCAGGATGAACCAAAGGTTAATGGAAAAGGAAGAATAGGAAACCAAATGAGATGGAATAAAAGAGAAATGAAAAAGGAAGGAAATAAGAAAGCCAAGTGGTGTAACGGGGTCGTTCTCTCACAGACAGTGCAGCGCGCACCATCACTCTCACACAGTCACACTTGGTGCGTCAGGTCCTTTAGAGGTTTGGTCTTCAGTTCTCCTCAGCATAGCCTACACCACTGCCAGTAGACCACATGCTCTCAGCTCCTGAACCTGAGGAGTGAGTAGAGCCCAATGGTCCTTACGCAGAGCTCGTGGGTTGCCTCATGTACCTAATGACTTGCACTCGTCCAGATCTTGCATACCCTCTCAGCATTCTGGCTCGCTTCGTGGTGACAGGCAGACACCAACCACAGCACTGGTGGGCCGCTAAGAGGGTTTTGCGTTATCTAGCAAGTACATCGGTCATGGGGCTAGTACTGGGAGGACGCAGGCCAGTGGTCCTTACTGGGCACACTGACGCTTCTTGGGCAGACGACGCTGAGACCCTCAGGTCCACTCAGGGCTACTGCTTTAGCCTTGGTGCAGGCGCGGTCTCGTGGAGGTCCAGGCGCTCGTCGTCTGTTGCACAGTCTAGCTGTGAGGCTGAGATCTACGCTTGTGCCATGGCGGCAGAGGAGCTCCGCGGGCTGATGTTCTTGCTCACAGACTTAGGTGAGCCGCCTAGCTTTGCCCAAGTTTTGTTCACTGACAATAGGGCCATGATCCTCCTGTGTCAGGAGCCTCTACTGGAGGGCAGAGCGAAGCACATCCAGTTGCGGTACATCCTCCTACGTGTGCTACAGCAGCGTCGCCAGACCAGCGTAGTACACTTGGCCTCCGGTGCCGACACAGCTGATATCTTTACTAAGGCGCTTGCGCTTAAAGATTATCAGCGGCACTGTTTGCACCTTGGTCTGGTTCCTGTAGCTACTCACTTGCTAGGACCTTGATTGTGTACTTCTCTTTATATATACCTTTATGAGTGGCCTTGTGGCTTCTCTTCCAGTGGTCGGACTAGTAGTGCCGCCCAGGTTTGCTCTTTTCTTGTTTGTACTCTTGCTGACTGGTCTTTGGACCCTTGCCTGAGAGGCTGGACTAGTAGTGCCACCCAGAGTTGTGTGTCGACTTCCAGGCACCGCCCCTTATCTGGCCTAGGGGGTGTGTCAAACATATTAGTATATGCTATAATAGGTTAGATAGGTGCATGCTCTTATAGGGTACAACCACTTGAATAAAACTAACCTGTATGCCTCATTCTAGTCAACTTTCTACACTAAGAATGTACAGTATTAAGGGCTTTCTATACAGGCCTTATACGGTACTAGTGGTAGACGCCGAGATGTTGTACACATGCCCCTATTGAGTGATGTATGTGTAAACATAAAATTTGTTTATGTTATAGGCTAGCTAGGTGCATGCTTACACAGAGTACAACCCCTTAGGTTATATCCCCTTGTACCACCTCTTTCTAGTCATTCATTCTACTCTAAGATGGTATCATCTTAGGTTAGGTCCGCCCGCCCGCTTCCGCCCTAGCCCCTAGCGCCCCGCTGGCCCCTTAGCGCCCGCTAGCCTCTTTAACGCCCCGCTGGCCCTGTTCGCGCCCCACTAGCCCCGTCAAGCCCCACCAGCCCCGTGCAGCCCACTGGCCCCGTACGCCCCGCTGGCCTTGTGCGCCCCGCTGGCCCCGTTCGTGCCCCACTAGCCCCGTACGCCCCGCTAGTCCCGTGCGCCTCGGTGGCCCCATACGCCTCGCCAGCCCCGGGCCCTATGGCCCCGTCCTCGCTGGTCCCGCTCTAACCAGCCCCGTGCTCGCCGGCTCCCGCGCTTGCTGGCCCCTGCACTCGCCAGCCCGCGCCCGCTGGCCCCGCGTTTGCCGGCCCTGCGCTCGCTGGCCCCGCGCTCACCAGGCCCTAGCTCGCCGGCCCCCGGCTCCACTGGCACCTGCTTCGCCGGCCACAGCCCACACCAGCTCCGTGACGTGCAACCACTGCGCCGCAGTGCCGCCCTGCCGCCCCCGACCTACCAGCTTTGGCTCCTCTCTGCGCCGGCACTCTTGCCGGTTGTCTCCACTGCTCCTCACCACACTCCACCTCTCTCCACCACACTCCACCACTCTCTACTGCAAACCACCTCACTCCACCGCCCTCCGCTGCTCTGTCCTCTGCCATTCCTCCTCTCCCTGTCAGCGTTAGTCAGCTGCTGCAGCTGTGGTGATGGCGGACTCACTGCTCCGCCTGGACGCGGAGGGTCGGGCAATCGACTTCAAGGCGTGGCACGTCAACCTTCGCCGTCACCTTACAGGTCAACGCCAGGACGGTCACTCTCTGGCTGTTCAGGTCGATTACCTGCTTCCCCGCCCCGTTGTGCCTGTTGCCCTCCCTGCTGCTCCCACCACTGCTGAGAGTGAGGCCTTTTCCACCGCTGCACTTGCTCGTACTGTCTGGGACTCGCGTGACGCCGTCGCACAGCTTGTTATCAGCCACGTGCTTCCCCTGTCTGAGCGTCCCCACTTTACCACTGTAGCAAACGTAAAGGAATTCTTAAATGCAGTCATCGCTTGCTATTCCACCCTCGCCCCAGCCTTTGCTGGTCGCCTGATCCTTCCATGCTGTTCCCTGATCTTGCGTCCTTCCCCACAATCGCTGATCTTGCCATCCACCTTCGTGCACTTGAGACTAGCTACCGTGCCGCTAGCACTGAGGCCCAGCTCACTGCCTTTCCACCGCTGCTTTGCGATACCCTCTACCTCGTTGTCACGTGCCTTCCAGACCGCCTAGCCACTGCCTGCGACCACTTCCTTAGTCAGCACCCACGTGACCTCACCCTTACCACCTTTGTTACCCCCCTGTCCGAGATAGAGACCCGCCAGCGCACTATCGCTCAGTCTAGCGGTACTCCGGCGGTCCCTATCTCTCATGGTTATTCTCCCTCCCAATGCATTTACTCTGACGACTCTGCTGCTGTCGCTGAGACAACCCCTGCTGCTGAGACTGCTGATGCAGCCTCAGCACAGCCGCGTCAGAGTAGGGGGGGCGTGGCTGAGGGAAGGGTGGTGGGGATGGTGGTGGGGGTGGGGGTGGTCGGGGTGGGGGGGGGGGGGGTGACGGTGGCTCCGATGAGGGGACTGGGCCTGGTGTCCCTGAGCAGCAGCAGCAGTCGCAGCAGCAGCAGTGGGGCCGCCTCCCGCCGGGGTGGCCCGGTGCACCTAGTGGTGGTGGTCGCGGTGGTGGCCCTCGCATCTCGGCGTCGGGTGGCAGCTTCGGCGCTGTGGGTTGCCAGTACCAGCTCCAGACCGGCCCCTTCCGCAGCACTGTGTGCGGTCATATCAATCACTCAGCCGTCCGCTGCTTCCGCCGCCTCGATTATCTCTTCCATCTCTGCTTCGGCCCTGCGCCGGACCTTCCCGACTTGCCCAGTCTGGTGCGTCGCCGTGTGCTTGTCTTTGATATGGATATGGATCAGCCTTGTTCTACCTTGCATGCCATGTATGCTGGTGACTCTAGTGTGACCGAACCCTATTACCATGTGTTGCCTAGTGTAGGTGTGCCTCCTATGTGTTGTCTAGGCCCCCCTATTGCGTCAGGCATAGGACCTTCTGCCTTGTTTAGCCTAGACTCCACGCTAACCCCTCCGCCGGCTGCCGCTACCGCTACGCTCTCGCTCACACTTGACTATGGTGCGTCTGCCTGCTTTTTCCGCGACCACAGTGCGCTTATGCCGCTTGCCGCCCCTGCCGCTGTCGTGCTTGCTGACCCCTCCTCAGGTCCAATAGTTGCCTGTAGCTCTACTACCCTTTCCTATCCGTCGATTCCCTCAGGCTCCCTTACAGGCCTGCACATCCCCTCGTTCTCCAGGAACCTAGTTGGTGTCAGCTGTCTTCAGGACCTCGGCGTCACCACTACGTTCCATGTCCATGAGCGGTACGCAGTTCGTACCAAGCCTGCCACAGGTGCCCCCCTCACCACATTCCCCCGGGACCTGGTGTCTGGCCTGTTTGCATTCGATACCGAGTCCCCACTGGTTAGGGTGTTCCCCCAGGTACCTGCGTTTACCCAGGTCGCTGCGGCTTGCTCGTGTCGGTCGCTCACTCACCCGTTGCTTCTCTAGCACCACCGCCTAGGTCACCCCGCACTCCCGCGTCTGCGTCACATGTCCCAGCATGGTCTTGTCCTAGGTCTCCCTGCCCTCCCTCCCTTGCCTGCGACGCCGTGCACGCCCTACGTCGAGGGCCGACCGCGCCATGCTCCTCACTCCTCCTCGCTTTGCCCTGCCACCGCGCCACTCTAGACCGTGCAACTGGACGTCTGGGGCCAAGCCCCCGTCCTTGTGCCGCGTCAAGAGCGCTACTTTTTAGTGCATGTCGACGACTATACGCGCTACACCACGGTGTTTCCTCTTGAGCGGAAGGCCGGCGTGCCTGACATTCTTATCCCGTGGGTCGTACCTACGGACGTCCACCGCGGTCGCCCCGTGCTGTGTCTCCACTCTGACCGTGGCGGCGAGTTTGCCTCCGGTCGGCTTGGACAGTTCTGTCGTGAGGAGGGCATCATGCAGTTGTACACCTTGCCAGACTCCCCGCAACAAAATGGGATCGCTGAGTGTCGCACCGGTTTGGTCATCGAGGTGGCTCGTACCTCCATGATCCATACAAGTGCACCCCATTTTCTGTGGTCGTTCGCTGTTCGCTACGCCGCTCACCAGCTTAACATGTGGCCGCACTCCCAGCGGCCGCAGGTTTCGCCGACCTTTCTCTGTACCGGGTTACCTGGTGACGCGTCCGCATTCCATGTCTTGGGCTGCCTTGCTCACGTTTGTGCCTCTGGCACGGACAAGCTCATTGCCCGCACTTTCCCTTGTGTCTTCCTTGGTTTCCCGTTTGACCGTTCAAACTGGCACTTTTACCACCCGCCGTCTCACCGCTTCCTTCACTCGCGTGACGTCACTATCGACGAGTCTGTCTCCTTCGACCACCGCTTTCCTCACCAAGGTTTCCCGGTTTCCTCGCCCCTGTTTCTTGTTCCCACTCCCCCGGTAGCCCCTGCTCCCCTCCTTCCCCGTCCTGCTTCGTCTGGTGTGTCGTCACTCCCCTCTAGTCGTTTGTCCCGGTCCAGGAGTCCACTGACTCAAGTGGCCCCGCGGTGCAGTTCTTGCCGCATGTTTCCGCCCCAGTGTCTCCCCCTTCGCCATCGCAGCAGCCGTCGCCGTCGCCGCAGCAGCGACAACCGCAGTCGTCGCCGCTGTCGCAGCAGCAGCAGCTGTCCATGGGCTCTGAGGGTGGGGGCGTTGAGGAGGGTGCTAGTCCTGGGGTTCCTGTCGTGGCTCCTCCAGGCGGTCCTGGGGGTGGCACCAGTGCTGGAGAGGGTTCTCGTCTTGGGGGTGCTGGTTCTGGGTGTGCTAATTCTAAGTTTACTATCGTGGCTCGTCCCAATTGTCTCCGGGAGTGGCACTGGTGCTGGAGAGGGTTCTTATTCTGGGGGTGCAAGAGTGGAGCCTTCTGGAGGAAGCCGTGGTGTTGCTTAAGGTTCTGGTGTCGGCGTGGAGCAGCAGCAGTAGCAGCAATCGCCGCCGGTGTCTGCCCTTCGCCTGCTCGGCCTTCCCTCCCCTGACCACCCGCCAGCGCCTCCACCACCGCCGCCTCTCCTGCCTGTCTACGACCTTGTGTTTCTGCCGCCCGACTCGTCTCCGTCCCGTTTCCCCCCTCATTCTCCTCCTGTGTCTTCTCTTGTATCGCCTGACCCGACGCCTCTGTCTCCCTTCTGGTCTCGTCATCCCTCTTGTGCTCGTCATGTCTCTCCTGTCCAGCGCTCTCACCCTATATTGCTCCATTCCCACGCGTCTCATCCCCCCCTCCTCCCCTCGCCTCCTCCGTCGTCGCTCATTGTCGCTTCGCCTCCTCTGTCTGACTACCTTCGTGTTGCTCGTCCTCTTGTTCCTCAAGTCCTTGCCTCCCTTGTTATCGACCCGTCTGTTCCTGTCTGGAGTCTTGACGCTCATGTCGATGCTGTCGCTGACTTCGCCTCTACCCGCCGCCTTGATTACGCCACCGCTCTGGTCTTTGACCCTGCCCGTCCTCCATTCGTCGGGGGTGCTCCTGCCCTTGGCAGTGACGTCCTAGAGGACCGGGAGTACGAGCTTGCTTTCCTGTCCGAGGCCGCACCTCACCTCTGCTCCATGCCGCTAGTCCCTGAAGGGGACCCAGACGCTTTCGACATCCCGACACCTCGCACCTATGCTGAGGCGACCTCGGGACCGTAGGCCTCCCAGTG